TCTGACAATGTCGTTGGCACCTTTTCGCACTTCATAATCCGGCCAGAAAAGGCTTATGAACAAAATGTGAAATACAGTTCGCATACTACTCCAACTCTACAATAAGGAAGAAGTTAAGAATGAATAACAGAATTATACAAAGGAAATACACAGGAAATATAAGATCAAAGCATTCTTGTAAATCATCGAAAAAAGATAACCTTGGTTTCAGTATTTCTGATCATCCAATACGACAGTTTTGTTGCATATGAGATATCTGGAGTGAAACATGAGTTAATTAGATGAAGCAGACGAAGAATATCCTATTAAACATAAGCATAAAAAATTCTCACCAAAGAAAAAAAATGCAAGAACATCATGAATATTTGCTTATTCATTTTAAAAAAGACGTTCCGAGCATCACCACAAAAAGATTCTTATAAAGCAATAAAAAATTATTGAAAAATTACCAGATGTGTTTAACGATGTAATAAATTTTTCTTTAAAGAAATCATTTTCCAATGTCTGTCGAATATTTTCCCGAGATTTTTCGTCAGTTAGAAGCAACAAAGACGAAACTATAAAATCCCCAACATTTGAACGTGTTTTATATATATCGAAAACCGACTTCAGTAAATCGTTGCTCAACTTCACTTTTTCATCTAAAATCGTAAAAATACCATAATTGTTTACTTATGCAATCAGCAAACAAGGCAGCAAAAAAAAACAATGGAATCACAGCAATAAAAAGAAAAAAAAAAGGAAGTAATTCTTACCATTACCAATGTCAAACAGAGTTACCATACATCTCAACGATATTGAACGGCTTGGTGACTTCAGCGCGGTCTGAAGTAATTAGAACCATTATATATAATCCAAGACTGAATGCTAAAAAAGAATTTATGGGTGTATAACAAACATGAAAAAAGTACGATAAAGAAAACAAAACAAAACAAAAGAAAAAAAAACCAAGAAAACCGGCTCCAATTTCTCATTCACATTGTTAATCTGCATTGACCATGCTAAAACCACTTTCCATATAGCTTCTGAAGCAGCCTGATGAACTGAAATTATCTAAGAAAAACCTTTTCTCTCTGTACATATGCCGAAGAACAGTAGGTTTCCAATATAAGCTGCAGAAACAAATGTGCGAATAAACGCGTTATACTAAAGACACACATTACACTGAACCATAATAAGCCAAGATTTTACACAAAGCTTACATGCTATTACGATATTAAAAATAGCAATAATGGAAGACCATGCTAAAGAATGCTTATATGAATAAAGGATAATAATTCGCAGTTAGAAAAAAATAGAAAAAAACCTTCGGAAATCAATAACGAATTCAATCTCTGTAAGATGTTTGAAGCAATAATGTCGCACTCAGTTTTATCCTTTACTCCATGAGAGCTCACCAATTTCAGAGTTTCCAGGACAGTGATACGCTGCCCGATAGTAGCAATTCTTCCATCAGATCCTCAAACATTCATTTTTCTTTCACAATTTAAAAATGCACACTTAAAAGACTTCATGCAACATTTTAATTTACCTTCCTTCTCACTTTTTTTTTCTGGTAGTCTTGATTTCCAACAAAGAACTAACAATTTTTGTCTTTTTCTAGCTAAATTTTTGAAGAATGATTTTAACAAAACCTGAATAAGTTCCAAATATCTCATCAACCAGCTCTTTCAAAGCCTTAGGATCGGTGATTTTCTTTGCTATCATTGCAACAGACAATGATGTATGACCGCGAACTTCATCGATCGATGAAATTAACGATGCTACAAAAATACGGCAAATGAATCTTATTAATTTAAGTAAAAAGATTGATTTGAAGTACCAGAGAGCACTCACCAGAGAGAATTTTATAGAAATCAACTGCAAAAGAAGACAAATCAATTGTTATCGATTCTAGAAGATATAATATCCCTGAAATCAATCTAACAATCGTACAAAGTGAGGCAAGTAAGGATTAAACTAGGTTCAGTTAAACATGCTCATTTACTAATTACAATTGTTATTCCATTATTGAGATCTTGAAGAAATCATAAACTATTCCGTTATTGGAGTCAAAAAATAGAGCAAAATATTTACTAAATCCGTAAAAAATAAAAATTGCTTTCTTTTGAAACGTTAGAATCATAAAAACAAAAAAAAAAAAAAAAAAGCATAAGAAAATCTAACCGAAAATCGCAATCTCAGGACTGCGTAACATAGACTTCTTAACAACAATCATGATTTCATCCCGGAACATTTCCATATTCATCTGCTCGAATATTTTAGAACTAGCAATCTACATAAAAGGAAAGTAACGTATCAATGTATTTTGCTTATCAGTACATGAAAAATTTTGCTGCTGAGAGACATGGAATTAGACTGGGGAAAATGGTATTCTATTACAACTTTCTTTTCTCGTTCAATAGTCAACTGCCACTTATTCATTCTTCTCTGTTTTCAATCTCTCCACTTGCATCAGCTTCTAGAATTTAGTGGGCCTCCATCTTTTTTCGAATCGCATAATTACCATGAACAATCATGTTATGAATAAAAATCAAAAAAGGAAAATCTTACAACAACATGAACACTTGGACGACGCTTTGTAAGAAGAATGTTTGCGGTGTATACTTTGACAAAGAATAAAAAATCGAAATGGTCATCAGTGCAAGGTAGTAAACTGAGAAGAGCAAGAATATTTACACCAGAAGATAACTGGGCTGTGCAACGATTCCGAATCCATTCCAAAGCTGTTTTTAGCAAGGAATGGTTAAGTATGGTCTTCATCTTACTTTGAATCTTTACAAATTTTTTACTGGCACAAACATGTAAAGCTGCTGACAGTAGTGCTGACATCTGAAAACAATTTCAGATCAAGGGAACTTTTTCGATAGTCTACGTGAATTGCTACATGAACTGAGTTTCATATTAAAACTAGGGATTGCAGATTTAACTTAAAATTCATTTAGTTCTTTCTATGCTATATGTCCGAAATTAATGAGATATGTCAAACTAACATAATTATGGAAGACACTAGCATGTTTCAAATCTATCAAATTGTGCAGATTAAACAACCATTTAACAGCTAGAACTGAATTTGCAACTAGCCATTTCCTGAAAATAAATAGGAGAGAATTCACTTCCACTCTTCACATTTAGAATATCTGGAAAAATCAAATCAAGGCTAACAAAGTTTTTTTTTTCTGTTTTTTTTTTTTTTTTTTTTTTTTTGGTAATAACTAACGAAGTTGTTGTATGAAGTTCAAAGAATGATGCATATGCTTCTGCAAGGTGTTTCATAGAAGTTGCTGGATTCTCACGCACGACAGTTGATATAACGGGATACAATGAAGTTTGTGAATGTCGATTTGTAAGCCGAGTAAAACATGTTAAGACTGTTATTCGAATCAGTGGTTTCCTTATTTGATCAGGAACTTCTGTAAGAATAAATTTCATAAAAACGTTTAAGATTTGCAAAATAATTTGCAAAACAAGTATTAATATACAGATGTTTCAGAAAAACTGAGTTGATAAAGGCAAAAAAAAATCCGCTGAAGTACCTGTAGTATTAGAAAGTGTAGATGTAAGCAACTGAGCAGCTAATTGGTGCTGTTTTGAGCTTGAACTATTCAAACTTTCCACATACTTACGACCCACAATTTTCAGCTGTTCCAGTGATCCCTGCAATTTGGAGTAATCAAAAATTTTTTTTTCTAGACCAAAATGAGGGAAGCATGATGTTAGAAATATGATTAATAAACAGCATACAAACTCTGTGTACGTGATTAATTTCATGACTAAAGGTGAAGTGTTCCTTCTTATTTAGATCTTACAACAAGATTATTAGATATAAACTACTTCCAAATGTGACAAGTTAGAAGCCAAATTATTACTAATATTCCAAGTAAATTTGCTTCTAAATTTCAGCGAAGTTAACTTTAACTAGAAAAAGAGAGATATCAAGTTTTTGGACACGAGACAAAAGGTAAGGGATAAAGTAAAAGAGCAGAAAGAAATATTTTCGAAATTTCAATTTCCTCTAAACACAGCAGCACATCAGTCCTTTGCAGCCGGAATTGAAATCAGTGACTGCCGTTGTGTTTTATTGATATCGTATAAATAAATGAAAAGTTTATGAATATTAGTACCTGTTGTCCATTGTTCACTATCTCTGCAGCCATTTCCACTATAAAGTAATCTCCTAAAATGATGTACGTAATTATCACTTAGTTTTATAAACATTCGTTTCATGTAGGGCAACGCTATCTTTCACCATCCATCCACGGCAACACTACATACATCTCACTTATATTTCGATTTTAAACGTTTTGTTTCATGAGAATCCTATGGACAGACAGGTTTCGAGTCGGTTAGCTATCAATTTTGTAGATAGTGTTAGTGGTAGGTAAGACGGAGAAGGGGAGGTGGCTCACGTGCAGTTTTATTTTCGAGAGGTTTTTGGGGTCATTTACTTGTTCATTTTTAGGTCGTGTTTGTCAGCTGAGTGTACTGATAGTGTCATTTGGATTGTTTCTGTGAAACTTGAGGGTATATTAAGTGCCACTTGAAGTATGATGCTGATTTATCTTTGCTTGTTTGTAATTATCTCATGCTACATATCATCTATATAATGTGAGGGATGTTTAGTTTTGACTGTTGATGTAATATCAGTGAAGCTTTTGATATCGACTTGATAAGTCGGGAGTTTGGAAGAATGTTTTCTATTATATTCTATTCTGAAAGAAATTTTTTCAGAGTTGATCTGGTTGTAATCTGTAATGTTTCTAATCCTTATTGTTTCACCTGTAATGTTTTTGCCGTTCAGAGTATATAATTGTTTTTGCAGTTCAAAGTATATGTTATATTCCTATTTTAATGATAAGTTTGAAGTTGTTTAATAATGATTTTATCTAACTGAAGAATTTTCAGATGTTATAATGTGGTCGCCTCTTACTAATAATCTACTGACAATATGGATGATAGTTAGTGTTCAAATATTACGATATAGTAACAGAGCCGCAGAGATGGATAACGAATTTGCGGAATTTGAAGACATGGAAATGGAATATATGAGTGAACAAGAAATTACTCTAAAGCCACACGGAGAAGCTAATAAAGGCCCTAGGGACAAGTCAGCAACCGTTGTAATATCTTTTCTTATTTATTTAAATCAGTTATCACTGTCGCTGAATGAGGAATTTATAAATAGTATCAGATTTTAGGATGATAATGATGAGGACGAGTTTACTGACGAAGATGAATTCTCGAGACCTATAAAAAAGGCCCATCAACAAAAGACTGAATCAGAAATTTTGCCACAGCTCAGATTTGCTGATGTATGCAGTTATCGTTTCTTTTTCATCGTTTTATTCAGTATTTGCTATTTTAACATGAAGTTTTGCAGATATATATATAAGGTTTTAGTTCATTTTAAGATTTAATGATGAATAGATTATCCCTTTTTATCATCACCTCGTTAACAGCAGCTTAATTCAGGTACCGGCTCATTTTCGTTCGAATTGGGCATCATATCAGGTGGAAGCTTTGGTACTGTCAGTTCTGGTACTTTACATGTTAAATTATATTTTCGGTCGTGCTAGAAATCGAAATATTGCAAACAAATGGTTTATGGATGCAACCTCACTTCTGGAAGAGCAGTTTACACTTGTAGGAGATGATGGTACATCGGAAAACTTGAGAGAAGGTCATATGCATAAAGAAACTGATTCTATTTATACGATTTGGTGGGTTTCTCACATTAGCCGTATGCATTTTGGTGTATATATGTGTGTATTCAATGCATGAGGATTTTTTTTTAGTAGCATGCTACCATTTAGTTAAGAATAATTAACAGTTCAAAACATTTTTCGGTGTCTTTTCATAACATTCTTCAAAGGCTTATTTCTTTTCTTTCTTATATTGTCAACTTTAATTCATTTAATGATTGACTTCTGTAAGGTTTATGACAAAAGTTTTTCAAAATCTAATTATAACAATCATTAATTGTTATAATAAATATAGGATATGAGATAAAACAAGTTATAAATAGTGAGACATTTGTCAGTATATTTTTGATAGTTGTGCGGAAGGAAACTTTAATGTACTTCTAGGTGCTCAGGTCGAGTTGGTTGTCAGGGAATGTTAATTACTTTAAAACTGGTAAAACGACAGGATTTAATCCACGTCGTCATGAATCTTATCCGACCAAAGGAAGATAAGGTTCGTAATTATTGTCATTTTATTGAATGAGTAATTGTTTATTTCTAATTAAAAATGGAAAGCTTCGTTGCAGGTTATAATACGTATTGATGTGGACAACAACGAAATGGATTCATTTGTATTTGCTATTGGGCAGCGGAAATTAGTGACCAAAGCATCCAAAGAAAAGATGGACCTTGTAGGTTGATACTGTTAAAGAAAGTAATACTTCTGCAACGGAAAGTGTAAATTTTCAGAGTTTGTTCACAATAGAACGGAAGGGAGTGGATAGGTTGGGACTTCCTTCTTCGATTGTGGTTTATGCAGAAATGTTTGAAGCTGTTAATGCAATTATCGATCCAGCGGTGTTATCAATGTTTCGAAAATATGAAAATGCTATTGATTACTTTCATTTTTCAGATCAGTATTCAGGTTATAAACCCTCGGAGTGAGTTCTTTAATTTTAGAAGTCCACTTTAAAGAATACTTGTCTGGATTGCTAGGATAGTCATTTTATTGTGCTGCATATATCTCGTTTTCTAAGCCATGTTTGTTTTCCTTGTCTTAGTAATATAATATTTTGTTTTAGGCGATACATTTGTTCAGTAAATTTCTTTCCTCAACTTTTAGGATAATAGAATATCACCACGTGGTTGTGCACAAGATGGTTACTTATTCTACTTTCTTACATTTGCCTTAAAATGCCCAGGATTCTTACTAAAACTCGGAAAATCTATTATTACCCAGGTCAAACGACTGGTTCTAAATTCCACTGAACAATTCGAAAACTGTTTCCGTTCAGCTAGATTAAGCACGTAATGAACTTAAAGTGACTAAAACTATTGAGTAGTTCTCGCTTATATCAGGATAAGTAAATCAGTAAGTGAGGACTGGTTGTTTTAATGGCGTATTTTGTAGTGGTGAATCATTTGCGCGGTTACCAGAAACTAGTCGAGTGCTGTTTTTCGCTTTCAAAATGAGTAGTGATATAGTAGAAATTGACGCACTGTTGCGAATGGTTTTTCATTGTTTCGAGAAAATAAGGCGTTATCGACTTTCAAGAGAAGGCAAACTGAAGGTTCACGGTTTTTTGTTTTTCGCTAATTTATATTCACTCACTTTAGAGAGATAATATCCATGAGTTACATTTATTGCAGTTTGGTAATAATCTTAATGTTTCAGCTCTAAAGAAATGTATCAGGTATAATTTTCAGGCAGACAAAAAACGTCAAAGTGTACAGGAAGCCTTCCTAAAAACAACACACCAGGCAAGGCAAGAAGCAGCTCAAGCTCGTCGAGAGGAGAAAACAAGAGAACGCAAACAACGCCTTCTAGAGGAGGAAGATCCCGAAAAGCAGCGACGGCTGGAGGTATTTTAAACAATAAATAAAGCTTAAAGTACATTTTGATTTTCACTGCCTAGCTGTTTTATTTTGAATGTTGTTTCTTGCAGAAATTAGAACAGAAACGTGACATGAAAATGCGGCAGCCAAAAATGAAACAGTTAAAAGTGAAATGAAGAAACAGCTCCATCCTAATTCATTTACCAGGAAAAGAGAATATATTAATACAGTAAAGATCTATGAAATGACTAACATCACCGTTTTACTTTCTCATTTTGTTTTGTTAGACATGGTAATGCTAGTTATTGAAATTTAAATGAATGGAAAAGGGAATTTTAAAATATTAATCTTCCAAGTAAAAACCCATACACCTAAAAGATTAAGTTGTTGTCAGGTTTTTTAATTCTATTAACCCAAGTCATGTGATATGTTTTGGATTTATTAGTCGTAAATAAATGTATATGGCATTGATTTCATAATAGTCTGTATTAAGAGGAGTTCATGCTCTCTTTCTGGACTTCTTTGTATATCAGGAACATTTGGGAGTTTTTTGATATCTCAGTATTTTCAAAACTCCAATTATTGAAATGCAAAAGACGTGTTATAAGCACTTAGCGTAAACAGCCTGTACGAATACTCGATCAACTGAAATATCTTTTTGATGGTTGACAGTTTTTCTTAGCAAGTATGTACTTTTTACTTTGTGAAAACCTTGTCCAGTGAACAGTTCATCCAATTCTTCTGAAAACAAAAGATTTTTTGAATTGTCTATAATGTGAGATTTAAAAAGCAGCGATAACTTGCCGAAGCAGTGTTTGGTAAAAAAGTTGAAAACAACACCTAATTTGAAGTAGTAAGTCATCGTTCCATCTTGTTTTGCATAAAATCTCTCATCCAGTTTGCTCTCTCGGCCAAATCGAAGCATGGCGTAGTCGTTGATGCCATAATCACGAACAAAAACTATACCCCGAACTTTTGCTAAGTTGAATAAGTTCTTCACTGCTTGCTGGTGCTTACAAGGGGGGATAGTGCTGAGAACAAAAATTAAGGATACTACGTCAGCTGCTGGAAAATCCAAGGAAAATTTGTCATAAGTTAAGTCTGCAACTGTAGTATTGATTGACAGATTGCTCGCTTCACTTCGTTCACGTAGTAACCGAATGGCATTGTCAGAAAAGTCGAAAGCATAGAAGCTCCAGTGTGGGTAAAGATGTATTATTGGGAAAAGTAAATTGCCAACTCCACAGCCAGCTTCCAAGAAATTTAGACTCTCCTGTAAAATCAATAAAAATTATTGCAAAAAAGCATTAAGTTTGCATAAATTCTTCACTCAAGTAAATGGGAAGTTATACTTCTCCCTAACGATTATGATTGCCCTCGTTACAGTGAAAGAAAGATTTTCAACTTCATATATCCCAACCACTTGCTAATCATTAGATCCATATCAATCTAGCACTAATTCAGCCATATATGCATGCGATCTTATGGATAAAAGTACATTTGTATGTCAACCTCTAAATTGACGTGTTGCTTCAGCAGTTCAGCAAGTTCGTGCTGTGTCCACCATCTATCTTTGAAGAAATTACTTTTATTTCGCAAATAAAATTTGTCCCAATTCTTTCGCAGTCCTTCTTGTAGCTTTATCCGCTTGAAATCACTTGCCGGTACTTGCTTTCGCACTTTTTCTGCCTGTTCCTCATTAAGCTTTGGAGATGACGAATATATTTTTGTTTGTGAAATGCCAAATAAACAATGATGTTCATCAGAACAACTTGTAGGTGATGTATTCATTTCACTCCTACCGAAAAAATTAGACCTGACAAGATAAAAAAAAAAATTAGACCTGACAAGGAATCTTACAATAATCTGAAAAATAACGTGCATTTGCACTACAAATGGATTCAATCGCTACTGGAAGAGTAAAGTAGTTGCTATCCACTCAAAAATTAGCTCACAGCAGTATTACAACTATTCATTCAATATTAATCTCTTGACTTGTTAAACCTATCAGTGAAGTTCGCAAACTGTAACTCTCAATATTCTCTTTAATTTGATAATTGATGATGCTTGTAGCTACCACCATAAACAGCGGGAATATTGTCATTCATTCATCAGACTAATAATATATCAGACCATACTTTTCAACTGTTTTTTTTATTACAATCCAACTTTTCAATGACTATTAAAGTAATCAATCCCACTTAAATTCTTTCCATATGAAAATAATAGCTGAACAACTATTTCATTGCAAATCAATTTCAAGGAACAAGATTAATAATCGTTTTGCCTCAGTAAAAATTGGTAACTGTGAACAATACTTTTATAAAGCAGAAAAAAAATACAAACATTACAAAATTTATACAATCGATTTAGGAAAAATGTTTCATGTCCATCAATGGCCACGAATTCTAGCATAAATAAATCCACTCAGTTCTCAATCATAAATCAATTCACTTATTTTCTCGAGATAACTAAACAGTCATAGGCAACATCTATCCGTCTGGCCTGTGAAAATTTTTAAGTAAAAGGGTTTCAAATTAAATATGAGAAACAACTTATAACGTACGATTTCGAACAAAAAAGAAAATATGTCCGACTACATTTCCGAAAACATGTATGAAAGTTACAAAATACAGACAAGTTATGTTGGATACAGCAAATAGGATACCTTTCTAGCAGTTTTCAGCAATCAAAATGTCAACGGGACAAAAATAAAAAGGACAATTCATCAGAAAATAAATAATCAAATGGTAAAATTGAAGGAGAAATCATGCTAGAGAAGATGGAGCATCTTTAAAACTTGTAGCTAATAAAATCACTAAGCATAGCTATTTTCCAGGCACATAACTGCTTCACCATCTAATTAAAAAGAATTAATTATTTTTGATGCCTAAAGTGCTCTCCAGTTCAGCTCGCTTTTGTTGCACTTTGTGGTAGATATAGCGAAAAGTACCCTCCATAATTTGAGGTTGGTAATAATACTCAGCATGACGCTCAGCTTCGCTGTCACCAAATACTTCTGTCATCGTCTGAAAAGAGCATCTGATAGATATTATGAAACACAAGGTTTTCTTTATAGTATAATTTGATATTGGAAACAACCACCTTTAGAGCTCTAATTTCACAATCATTCTTAAGACCTATGCATTCTTTAACTTGCGCACTAACTTGTCAAATAATCGAATCAAACTAAAAAGAAATGGAATCAGAAGAATAAAGATGGCACGATGACGTGAAACACTTGAGACGACTCATGTGACAGCGCGTAAGAGCAGCGTCACCATTATGATGCGCATTGCACAGACTAAATAATTTTGCAAACCACAAACTTGAAATGAAATAATAAAATGACAAAATCACAGCACTATTATATCATACCTTCAGATCATTACTTTGAGAAATCAACCACTTGTGAATAAATTCCTGTGGATTGTCCGCAAAACGAACATAAAAATCTCGTCGAAGCTTCCATTCATTTATTTGTTCGACGATATCAAAAATTTTCTGATCCAATGCGCTTATATCTGGCATATTAGCGTGGCTATGAAGAAATGAACTCATTTGTGTCTTCAGAGGATCTTCCATTTCCACATCTATGAAATAAATTAGCAAAATTCAAGAAAAAAAAAACAACTCTGTTAACTCATAATTGACATTTCCTTAACAGATCTTAAAAGCCGTAAAAATCGCTTAGAGGCCTGAAATTTGCTAAAAAACCAAAGCAAACTAGTAACCTCTAATACCTCGTTATTAATGAATAATAACATGCTAATTCTCCGTTTGAGAAAATTGCTAACAACAGATATGAAAGCATTTATGAGAAAAATCACCAATATCATAGCATGCTGTATTTTTCTCACTTCCTTCACTATATTGAATAGTATGATGCAGAATCAGAGGATCGGGCTGATGTAATAAATTTTGAAGACGTTGAGGTATTTCCATAAAACGCATTCGCTTCACTCCAAAAATCTGTTCCAGGTAGCAATCGCAATTTATGTTATCGCGTTCAGACTGATCCTGAAAATATTTTGACATTCTTACAAATTTCTGCAAAGGCAATAGTTTTAAAGATTCATTAGAGAAATATTGATTATAGGATTAAGATGGGAAACTTATCTGCAACTTGTGTGTTTTTATGTACTGCCAAAGAGCTTCAATAATTTTTGGACGTGTTTCTGTAGCCATACCAAGTACTTTTCCCAATCGTGGATGCAATTTAAATTTCATTGGTTGGTAATCAAGTAATAAAAGAATGGTGCATTTGACATCTCGATCTCCAGGTCTTTTCACCTAAAAACAAAGGATGAAAAATGAGTGGCATGAATTTGCTAAACAGGTTAAGTTCCGTAATGTTCCAATCCATAAATTCCTTTGTCCAAAAAATGTATGACAGGTCCAGAAAAAACCTGAAATCCATCAGTTTCATTCGTTTGAGGAGTTCGATGCCATTCAACAAGATGATTGTCAGGTCCATAAATTTCTTTGTCCAATTCGATTACCAAACTTTTGAAAAACGAACTGAATTTTCGTTTCAGTGGTTGATTACGATTTTGACTAGCTCCAATACCTGCAGTACTTACGCCTGTCGATGGTTCATCCAACAGACGTCCTTCGACTCGTAGTTCCCACATTGGTACAGTGCCTTCATCGCCTTCTCTCTACAAATTAATAACACAAAAACTTATTCTTATACGACGCTTACAAATTTAAAGTAATTACTTCCTTAATACAACTACAGCTGTATATGTAAGATGATAGGATCAATTTATGCGGGAAGACTTCATGTAAAGTAGAAATATTTTCAAACCTCGGGCTCTTTGCCAGGTATGAATGTGTGTGAAATATATATTCGAAGGCGTCTTTTAACTTTTATTGGCCTTTTTAAGGCTTCTTGTATATCTAACTTCTTTCTCGTGATGGTGGCATCAAGTTTTTGCTCGAAAGCTAGGAGATCCATGTAGGCTTGAGATTCTGGCACAAGCTCACGAACCTTAAAAAATGAAAAGACAGAAGTTTGAACTGATTTTAGCGATCTTTCTTCCACTACGGGAATACACTTGGGGAATATAATTGAAGCAATTTTGACAGCTAAAATATTTCAAAAACAAAACTTCATAAAGATTTCACAAAAAAATAGTAAAAATTGTCTCACTGATTTGTTTGTATGCTACCGTTATTCATTTAAATCATCATAGTATAGCACTGTGTCGTAACCTGTATGGGTAACAGCTTATCAACCAGTTTTCGTTTCTTCGAACGATTTTGCATCTGACTGCGAGTATTGTGTTGTGGTGGAAGCATTGGTGGAGCACCTGTAGGCTGCGGAGCAAATGACCGTCGACCATGCTGTGCATTTGGTACTGCTCCGCCATATCTAAAAGACAGAAAAACTGTAAATATGCATTAAAATATCCTATTCAATTTTATATACCATTAATAACTAAAACTGAATTTGCACTTTGTAACTTAACAAGTTTGTAATCAGTAATTGCAATAAATAAAAAGCAACTAACTACATATAACTCATTAAATTTCATTTATTTTTGAAACAGACTATAAGTACTCTTATGTTTTATGAGTACAATAGGAAAATCTTATAAGTACAATAGGACATAATGATATCACATCACAATGAAATGCGAAATAATCTAAGATACCAAACTACCACAAAACAGCGGTAAATATTCCTGCTGAATCACTTACTAGTGATATTAACTGACGCTGAAAAAAAAATTGTAGGTTGCGTCATTTCACTTTATCTTTTAAAACTATAAGAAGTCTCATACTCTTTTAATGCAATAATTATTATAGTCATTTTAAAAACATTTCGGAAAGTGCAAGCTTAGTTTCTAAAAAGATGCACAAAGAAACAAATAAAAAAAAAACGGAAACTGATATGTCACTCATCAGTCCATACATAAAGCATAAATCATGCAAATGCAAGCAAGAGATTAACTACGCTTTTTAGCATCATTAAAAAATGACCACAGAAATAAATGTTGAAATACTAACAGATAAGCGCACATTTTCATCAAAAAATTACCTGATATTAGAACCGTTATTGGATGGTACTGCTGTATTGCCTCGATGCATTTCTGAAACACTTAAATATATACTACAATACCGACATTCGAATACCAAATACATTCAAACATCACTGTCGTCCACATAATCGGTCATCTTTCATTGCCCCTTATTATGTTTCTGTCATCTTGACAGGTATGGTTTCGTTTCATATGAAATATTTGAGATTACTGGTGGTTGTTGTAATGGGAGTTATTTTGTTGAATGGACAATATGGAGAGAAAAGAGAAGGCACATTTTAGAATGGCCAAAAATCACATCTTTATAAAGGTTGTGTTCTATCTTTAGTATTCGGGGCTGCTAATTTATAATATCCATTTTATGTTGAGTGATAGATACTCTTAATTAGTAATTTACTGATGTAACTGTAGAGATTGGCTATCGAAATATAGAGATTTTCTCGACAAGAACTTTTTATGTTTTCAGATCGATTGAACCAGTTGCTGTAATGGGCAGCAGGATATTGTGTCATATATCACGCTTCCATTCGTCACTGGCAGTCAGTAGCGAACATTCACATATTTGGGATATATTTGCTTCGATAGCTCTCGTGAGGCCACCTATCATTGCACCACCAATGAATGATATCGAGAAACGTTACCAGAACTTTATGCTTCAGAGGGAATTAGAAGACTCCCTCCGATGCGATTTTGAATTGCGACAGTTAAGAGATGAACGGTGCTTCTTTGTTACCATTTTTTGATTTTACTTGTTCTCCAACTTGTTTATGTGCCTTATTTCCTATCTGATAGATAAATCTCTCTTTATATAGCGTCTTTTTACACTTTTATTGTAGGCTTCTTAACGAAAGAGAAAGATTGAAAGTGGGTGATGAAGAAGCTAATTTACAAGAAGAAATAGGAATTCTGGCTTCTGTGGACGAAGAAAACTGGCGGAAGGAAGCAGATCGAATCCGAAAAGAGCTTGCAGTTGGGAACCTTACCAAGGTTGTGTTATTTAAAACATGCTGTTTTTAATATTTTTAATAGAGGTCAAAAATCTCTTGGACACTCAATTCAGGATGTTAATAACTGAGAAATAGGCGTGGTGTCAAGGCATTTTAAACATGAAATATGGGGTATATGTGGTTGGATTACGTTTAACACCACAGAGTCACCGAATAATCACGTGTTGTTTCTGTGTGCGTTTAATTAATGAATTGAGCCGAAAAGTCGCATTTCTTGTTGTACTCTAATTGTCTCGAAAATGGTTCGATATGATACTTGCATTACCTACTTTGTCTTGTTTTTGCAGTTTTCAAAAACTGATAGTGCAAGCTTACAAAGGAAAATTGATGAATTTCTTGTGCTTCTTGTGTGTCAGAAATTTGGACGAGACGATGGTTATCTTTCTCGATGGCATCTACCTCAGCTGCAAAATCTCCCAGGCGAATCACTAAAACAGGTAAGAACTACAATAAGTTAGTTGCATTTTTTGTGTGTTCTCATTTTTATAAGTTGCTATGCATCAATAATGTTAATGTATTTTTGACTTTTTGTCTATTATGAATATTTTAATGGTTGGTAAAGTTCCATCAATACAAGACTACCTTCAAATTTTTAAAGTAAAATGAAGCACCTGCCTTGCTGTGATGATAAAAATTTGTCTGCAGACTTCGGAGCGCTGTCTCAAGGAATTATTTTCCACTGAAATTCATGGAGAAGGAATAAGTAATGCTCCGTTTGCTGTTTATTTTTATTGCTATCCTGCCCAACTACGACAGAGATTAAAAACACAGTCACGAGGTGCTGCGGTAAGTTAGCATACCATTATGGTGTTTTATAGTAACCAGTTATTCAAGGACAGATGTTATTCAGTTTAGTCATAGAACTAACTAAAAAAAAACCATAGAATTGGCTCATTCTAATATTCCAACTATTATTTAAATTTGGTAGATTCATCATACTGCAGGAAATAATTGCGGTATGATGGCTTTTCAAATTTCAAGCTAATTTTCCCAGTAGATAAAATCAATTGATTTTGTTTTCAGATCTTTTTCTTCAAAGCATTATATATGAAACGTTCTGCGCTGTTGGTCAAGAAAGATGTAGTTGCAGATTACAAATGGGCTAATGCAGAAGAATTTGCTGCAAGTGTAGGACATAAGATGTCGTATCTTCGGGCTTTGTCAACTCTTTTCCCTTCTTATCTTTTAACAAAAAATATCTCTGAGTGTGCCAAAAAAAACAAAATCTCAAAAAATTCGGTCGAAAACGCAACTACGAATGTAGTCATCTAAGCATTGTAAGCTTAATTTTCATTGATTAGCTGTTATATTTGCTCTATTTTGGAAAATTACTCAATACTTATACAAGGACTTTCTTCTTCCAAATTGCTGAAAAAAATGGGAATGAGAAATGAGTGATTTATCAAGTTTGGATTTGTTGGATTTTGAGACTGAATAGACACTGTTTATTCTTTCATATGAAATCTTGCATTCTTAAGATAGAGTTTATAAATATGAAAACTTAAGTATCTTAAGTAAGCCTATATCTCTGGTGTGTAAGCAATACCGGTTCGCGTCTCCTGTTTATAATACCTTCACTTGCTTTCTTATTCGTTATCGAAGAATTCCCATTTCTCAACACAGAAATAAAATCAAGAAGAGAAAGATGAGCTACTTGAAAATATATCGCAGGTAAAAGTGATCATTGATGAATCTGCAAAAAATGTTTGCTACGACTTCCAGTTACATCAGCAACAAATATAATTACAATCTCAACAAATTGTTTTATCAAGATTTCTAATGAAGTTTACCTCAGTGATAGGATAAGAAAGTAATGACATTAATTCCAAATACTAAATTCTGGTATCACATCATTAAATCTTTAACTGTACCATTCACCTATACCACTAACTCTCTGCAAAGGTGGTTTTTTCAATATCACTGTTCTCAATATTTCATTCAAGCTATATTAGCATACTTATTATATTAACATGGGACTGTGGATAGTAGCAGCATTCATCAGTAATCAGGATAATTGCCCTTTAACATGTTTTCTTAATAAACAAAACATGACGAGTGATAGAAGAACAAAACAACCTAAATGGAATTTAATGAAATCTTTTGAGTGCTAGCCGTAAATCATTCCTATGTTCATTATAGATTGTTGTTTACTACTAATTCAAAATAAACTATGAAATGAATCCATTCATTTGTGATTTAGTATTTTTATTATAATGAAATACAGAGACATACAACGCGTCGTAAAAATTAGGCTACTTTACCATAGCATTCATCTCGCATCTCGTATTAAAAGCTTCAGTCAAACAAGTTCTCAGTAATTAGTTGGTGATAGATTCTATTCTCTCAAGTATTCCATTTTTCTTTATCTTCATTAATTAGATTCGAAGATACCAATTCATTTGATTCACAGGATTTCAAGTGACGTGGACTATTCGAGTATTTTTCACATTATTGGAAAAAATGGGAAAGGGAAAATCAATGAAAGAAAGAAAAATTCATTGTATTAGCATTTGAGAAGCACAATTACTCAAAGATTTGAAAATGAAAAATCAAATCTCTTCCAAAAAAAGAGTCGGTATAAGAAGAAATTGCTTGAGTTTTGCTGGGTGGACAAACTGAAACCAGCCTTCTCTCAAAGATTGCAAACAATTGCTGTTTGATATGGTGTTTCCTGGGACACATTTTCTTCCCTAATTATATGGCTTTCTAAAATCATGATTTATGCCGATCAATTCAATATGTAATCATTTTGATGAAATGTTGCAGAAAAAAAAGAAATGAACATTTTTCGTTTAATTCATTTTTCTGAGTTACTTAGTAATCGTGTATTATTGCATGCTTTTGCAGTAGTAGTTTCTTCATAGTTCGCTTGGATTATTTAATTTTACTTTTTCCATATACACTAGAAATTTTTGAAACGAAACTTTTAAGTACGTAAGACGTTACTCATTAAACTTCACTTATTATATTTCAGCATAGTTGCCATAAATTCTAATACTAAGGCAACTTTACTATCTCATACTTCTGATATTTTTTATGAGATTGACTAGCTAAAACTTAAGTGACTTGTAATAGCGGTAGGATTGAAACGAGACTTCACGGGATGAAATCTAAGACGAATTAATCAGTTTCTTTTTGTAGGTCATGCTAGACTTTTGTTTTGCATTTAAGTTTCATCTAGGTCAAAAAATATCGTTTCAGTAGCAGCCACATGAGTGTGTTTTCAACTACGCCGAGCAAACTTTCCTTATTATCAATTGTAATACTTCTTCCCTGATAAAAGTGATAGTTTTAGTTTGCGCACTTAGCCCAATTATTTCAATCCATCTTCATGTCTGCATTAATGAGGCAAATATAGATTTAAGACTTGAAACTCTAGAACTAATGAAATTGAGTTCAAATTTCGATTATTGGCATCGTGAATTGATTCTTTTTATCATTTTCACAGAATAGTTTCATCACAAATAGGTCGGTACTTTCACAATATTTTGTTAACAATAATGGTGATGCATACGAACCATTGAGCGCTTCTGTCGTATCATTTGTGATCTTGGTAGTGAAAACATTATCGTTATTACAGGGTATATGTGGTGGGTGCCAACTGCCACGGTTGTACCCAACGAAAGTTAGCGTTGCTTCCCATTCCCAACCCCTTTTATCCATATTATTTTGAATATCTACTGCCCTGTGAATAAACAAGAATATTTTTAGAATGGATTACAACAAAAATTCAATCGTACAAAAACTTGAAATTTTTTCACTTTAAAACACATTTCTGATTCGCTGCAAGAAAAAAGTATTTTGAAGATGCTTAGGAAAATGCATTATCATAACATCTCCAAATAAACATGTAGGAATACATTTTTAATTCTCCAAGAAAAACGAAATATTTGAAAATGTTTTTACTGCACAGGAATTTTTTTAAAGGCATAATGAATATGATGGGTCACATTAGCAACAGTAAAATATGTCGATAGCTAAAGTATTAAGATGCATTTTCCGATGTGTCAGTGGAACCATTGAAATTATTGAAATTTGATATTTCATACATTTCGCTTCACTTGTATTACATTCATTTTGAAGTGAATAGATATCATGCTCCAATATGAAGACTCGAAGATATTAATTAAATTTTCTTTACAATTATTTAAACAATTTATTTTAGTCACTAATAAGTTTGATGTAATAATTTTTGGTTTAATCGATAAACGACTGTCATTGGCCTCCTACAGTTGGCTGTTGGTGTATATTTCAGATCTTAGCATATTTCACTTTACCTATTGTATAAGAAAATATGATGAAATAAGCAATAAATAAGATGAAACAATTTCTGATCGATGGAAAAAATAAAGATAAAAGATAGAGAAATGAACATTAAGCTTGAAAAATTCAAATGACACTCACAATTTCGAATTTTTCCAAGCATTCCATCCCAGTTTGTAGAAATCTTGATCGCTTATTACAAATTTGAATTTTTCAGAAGAACTTTAACTCCAAATCCCAATTCAGATGTACTGTTTCAAAATCTAATACTCCAGTACTTATTAAAAGCAGCTAACCAAAAACTTATGGAATTTTATTTAATGATAGCTAGATGTTTCATATAAACCTTAGGCAAAACAATTAGTTCATTTTTATTCCCATAGCGGTGACACTGAAATTTAAAAAGAAGAAAGAGAGAAAGTCTTATATACAAGACAAAAAAAGAAACAGCCCATTGATTGAAAAAGAAAGCATGAAATTTGAAGCGCTGGATAGCACAATTATCATTGGAAGGAGTTATGTGCTTTTTTCCTTATATTGGGTTAATTCCCCTATTAATAACGGTTAGTTCGTAGATGCATCGGCCTTTGTATGTGCTTAGCATTTCTTCGTGAATGCATAAGCATAAGCATTGTAAGGTGGCCTTTAGCTCCTCCAATTATTTACAACATTACGTGTTTACAGTTGTCAGACAAAACCTTTAGTGTATGACCGAAAGTCATATATTAAATATGCATGTGTGATAATTTTTGTAAAGCACAAATAACATTGTGAAATGAGAATTTTCGGTCAGAATGCACCGACATATGGAAGACAGGACAATACATATAAATTGATACAGCTTGTATTCACAACCTTATCATGGATATTCAAAAATAAAGACATCTAGTTAGAATTCTTTAGTCTATAACTAGTATAATTTATTTCGTTAATCCGACTTATCTGTTATAACCGCTGCAAAATGCTCAATTAACCAACACTTCTTGATCGACCTAACACAAAGCTGAAAATGGCATATCCCCGCCTTGCTACAATATAAATTTGAAACTCAAAATGATATTTTTGACACTTTTTTTATAAATTTCATACCTAGCACAGTGCCTCTAACGCACTACCAGAACTTTTCACTTCCGTTTTAATTGATTATAAATACTGATTACAGAATATTTTGATTGGTTGTAAACGCTGATTGTAGAATAGAACATGTTTTCTCCACTTTTTTCCTAAATAGATGGAAATTTTACTAAAGATAAACCTTTTCTAAATGAAAAAAGATTGCTTATTTGTTATACATAAATCAAAAGAATATATATATAACAAAATTAGTGCTTATACAATTATGGCGTAGTTGTCCGTTTCAAAATTTCCTCCTTACAGCGTACAAAATCATCCATTTCCTGATTCCTCCAATAGATTCCACGCCCACGCAATGAATCACTTGACTGGCGCAGTTTATATGCTCCTAGAAAGGGATTGTAGAAAGTTAGTTCAATATATTTAATTTGTTAATGACATAGAATTTATGTTTTTAATAATTCCTCTACTGATTAATCACATCACCTGAAGATCCAAGAAATATAAAGAGACATTAGCACCATAAATCTTCGCTATAGCGCTGTAAACCGCTAATATCTAGTTATAATATTTTGTAAAAATCAATGTTTATTAACTGTAAAATGAAAACTGACATAAGAGGAAGGCTCAAATAGAACACTTTTTCCTTTATACCCAGATTCCCCTTGCTCATTTCGGGATGGAAGAAATGGATTACTGGATTCAATTATAAAAAATGAGCTCCAATTTGAAAAAAGAAAAGTGTAATCCCTAACTTCTTAGTAGTTTGATATAAACTGAGTTCTACGGATAGTTTACACTATAGTTTTAAAGTGAGTTAGAGCTACTTTTCCCAGATTTGCAAACGGTCGATGAGTTGAGAACTTACCCAAAGCAACGCCACCGAAAATTACAACAATACCAGTGGTAACAGTAAGACGTTGGAATAGAACTGACCAACCCATGTATGTATCTTACCCACAAGTGAAAACAAACAACAATCTAACTGGCCGCGTGTCAAAACTTTAATCAATAGGGATCTGTTCCATTACTTGGTGGTCGGTCGCATTTATTATTAACTTTTTGCAGAACTTCTAGTAAAAAATTTGAATCAATAATTAAAGTGCAGTACTCGGGACATCGTGGTATCCACCTAACAAGTTTAATGCAAGAAATCCCTATTTGCCTCATTAATCCCTCATATTTGTTTCTTATCATATGCATCAGCTTCAATTGTTAGTGCTTCTTGAATGTATGATAGCTGCACCGATTGTCTTGAATTTGTGATAGCTGTACCGATCCATCCCAAATGCCGATAAGTTTCAATAAGAGTTCGCAATCTCTTCACCGCTTCAAATGCCAATCAGTCATCACTTTGAACCACTTGCAGACCATATGGCAATCAGGTCACATTCGCCATCTCCGAATTAACTTGTGTTGTCATATCATTTATAAGTTTAGCTGTGTCGCTCTACGCTCGATACGTAGAACATAATTTAGATAATGACAGCAGTTATCGGCCATTGTGTGATATAACTTATTATGTTAGCTGCTCGAAAGCTTTTTAATCACCATTTGCCAATGATCTCGGAGTTGCATCATCTATTCTTGCAGCTGACCATATATTAACACGGTTAGTTAAATAAATATACGACAATACGAAAACATAAAAGACACCAATGTTAGAAGATTTAATAAGAAATATAACACAAAATTTAGCACGCTGATTTCCACTCTGATCAAATGGAAAGAGTTAATATGAACAAGATAAATTTCGAATATTGATAAAGTTATGCATCAGAATACGCGATGGTATACATAATGGGGTCATGTAAATGTTTATTTTCAGTTCATCTTATGGTGAAATCCGAATCAAAATTAGAGTCCCCAATTGTATTACATTTCATCTGGAGACCATTTGTATGTATGATTAACTAGAATTATTTCAGAAAAATCCTATGTACGGTTGCCTTTCTTATACCTCCATGCTCCTACTGCAATTCATCCAGAGGTCCTGGGCAAAGAAATTATCACAGATTTTGTTGGTTTTCATGAACCTTCTGTCAATATATCTTCTTTTTGTTCTCGTTTACCCGCGCAGCATTTGCGTAGTTTGTGTGTGCATTTACGTTATCAATGCACTGCTATTTTACTACTTATTCCGAAAACATTCTGTTTTGGATTACAATTCGATTTATGGTAGTAAGAGATCATAATCTTATATTTGTTTTCAATTTCCCTCTCGACGTTTTTTCCGTCCTCGCCTTGCCAAGATCGAAATTTTGAATACAGTGCTGTAAACATCAAGATCAAATTTATGTAAATATTGAGGGTTACTAGAAAAATCTGCAAAGTTCTGTTTTCTTTAGAAATCTCAGAAATTAAGATAACCTTTCTATTATTTGAATAGCGAAATATGAATTTGTTACTTTTAACGCATTGTGTTTATTCAAAACATGCTAGGACGCCATTTAATTAATGCTTGGTTACTTCATACTCGTAAAATTAGCAATTCTACTTTTGATGCTAGTGAGTTCCATATATGCATTGATTCCTTCAAATGCTTATTTCATTTAGAATTTAAAAAATAAATAAAACTATAACATGAACTAACTTGCATGCAGGGCATATTGGACTAAAGTGACATTGAACCGAAAGACATACGGAGCAGACCCATCCAACACTTACTGGAGCACCGTGGCAATGGCAGCTAGCCCGATAATCTATTGAAGTTGATGATGAAGGTGATGGAAATGCAGAACGCAGCGATGCCCTTCCAAGTGTAAAACACTATAAGTTTTTTTGTAATACTTTGATATTTATATTTTTGATATTTATAAATTAGGTTTAAAAGCACTCATATCTAGATTAGTTTTTGACAATCACGAATGTTCCTATGATCGAGACCACTTAAGATACTAACCATTGTGTATTTCAACAATTGCTTCGGTTTTTTAACATTGAAGTAAGTACCGCCAGTAATATCACTCGCCTGTTGCAAAATTGGCGATGTCTCACCTAAATTATAGAATGAATGCTTTCTTCAAAAACTTCAAGATTGTAGAAAGAAGTCCATCATTCTCAATTTATGACAAAATAAAATATGGGGAATTTACTGATTTATTGGTTTAAGAAATATGAAATTATAAAACTTCTATGCAAGTAATATTCAGTTTAAAAGCACTCCTATTCGTTGAAAAAGTCATCTCAAGAAGAGGGAACCAAGATTTTTGAAAGTAAATGGTGATAATCAGTAGGCACAAAAAAGCTCGAAATTATACATAGATGTCTCCGAAATTTCATATAACCTTCAATATTCTCACATTGGCCCATTAAACAAGTTGTGAAGTTCCCCAAAACAAAATAATAAGCAGAAATCGTTAAATTGCATAGTATGGTGTTACACATTTACTCCATCTTAATAGTCCCAATCTTAATAGATTAGAACTGACCGATATTGGCCACATCAATGAGAATATTATGCTTATGAGCGGCGAAGAAGATATTCATTAAAATGTTATGCTCTCCAAAAAGATCACTACCAATGTTGATAATAAGAATGCGTCCATCTCCTTTGTCAACTTCATTCTTGAAACGGAAAATATCTGAAGAAATATTAAAATAATTGTTGAAACAAACATCTGAACTTAAATAACAAATAAATTACAATGGCTTTGTTATTGTTACTAAGAAACAAAAAATACAGGATTGAACATATGCTTAATAACACATAGATGCATTAAACTAGATAGAGTGATAGTATCATTCAAATTTAGTGTATACCTTAAGCAGTTTCAAATAAATGAGTGTATACCTTAAGTAGTTTCAAATAAATGAGTGTATGCCTTAAGTAGTTTCAAATAAATGAGTGTATACCTTAAGTAGTTTCAAATAAATCATCATTTCAAATGTTAAGGTAATTGTATTATGAAACTCTCAAAAGTAGTAGATGAATCTACAGCTAGTTAGAAGGCAACAATAAATATAGAGGGGCAGTAAAGTGAAATCACTTGAATTCATGGAACAGAAAGCAAATTTTTGGAATGAAAATCTCATTAGCTCCCAGCAAACAAGTTAAACATACGACAAATGGCAGTAGCAATAGCAGGTGCAAAAAGGGCTGAGTCTGTTGTACTTGTTGAGGAAGCCGATTTTTTAAGTGCATTTTGTATTGATGTTTTTACTGCTGAACTCATATCTATCTAAATAAAATGTATAACGTTTTTATTGAATTTTGAATTTTTATTATAACTACCAATTTTTTACAGACGAATTGTCATCAAGCTTCTTCTCATCACCAATATTGTTACAAAAGTTTACTTTTTTAACTGCAACGATCTCATGAAACTATCCGGAGCATAGTTGTACGATGGTTTACAATACTGCTATCAGTGACACATTTTTAAAATACTCGGCAATAATTGGTATCCTGTCCATCATTCGATTCAAGCAATTAATGTCGGAGTAGCTATGTACCGGCTTTCATTCAGTTACTAATTTAGATCTCAATGAAATTCTTTAAAGACTAACATCTGATGATGCACTTGTAGTATAGATAGTCGGTTCCGAAAGCGTTCCATCGACACCAATAACGACTATACCATTCATTGCAGAAAGTGACATATGTGCTGTGGTATATGATGTAATGGAATGGATCAACATACAAATCACATTCTCATTGTTTTCCTTCTCAGCCAATTCACCCCAATGACGAGCATCACAGTCAATCACAATGGATAAACAACTCATCCTTTAGCCAGCAAAACACTCTGAAAGTAGCAAACTTTCAATTTACGATTTAATAGAATCACGAAAATTATAATAATAAAAATCCTAAGTGAAAAAGAAACCTTTCGCGTAATTTTATTTAAAGTCAAATGAAAGTATTGATACAAACTATCTTTCTTTCCTATTTGGTTTCAATTTCCCATTCGATAAATAAAGTATTCAGAATTCCAATTTATTTGAAGTAGTGAGTTCAACGTATTGGTGCATTGTTTTGGACAAAATTTTTTACTTCTGATTAAAATCAAGTACAAAAACATCCTTACTTGATAATAGAAGTTAAATTAATTAATAATACTTAATTAATAATAGAAGCAAAATTATTACTTATGTTCTGAACAACCATTAGAAGCAAGGAACAGACTTCCTTCTCACTGAGTGTCTAATAAATAGAGTTAACTAACAGAAACATTATAGTTTCTCATACCAGTGTGCTACATCGGCACTGTATTTCTTTGGAAAATTCTTTGAAGATTTCCCTTTTGTACGAAAGTTGAATTCAGTATTAGTTCAATCCGGTTCTACAAAGAACGGCCTACCTTGGTAATTTTTGTCTTTATCGTAGTACGAAAGGAGAGTCGTGAGAGTCAGCATTTATAACTTCCTGATTTCTATGAATTTTCTGTCTTTTCCTGAACCTTCTGTTGTTGCCTTTTCTTGTTCTAAATATTTTTTTCTCCCAGAATCTATTTAAATATTTACTCAAGTAGAATGCATTGAACCGTGAGAGAGATTTTGTAGGATATCATATATAAAGACCACAATCCACATTTTCATTAGCATCACGAGCACTTGCAATTCAATAAAACTCCATAAGTAACTTTACTGAATTACAATCAATTCATAACTTTCCTTGCATAACATAATACTGGCCTCCTTTCATTAAAGTTTATTTTTGAAAAAAAAAAAAAACTGCAAACAACATTCAATAAAGCGAAAGAAAAACTTAAGAACTGATCAGAACACTTTCAGAAACAAAACAATTATTATAAGTTAAAAAATAATATGATGCAACAACAACACGAAAAAGAAATTTTATTTTTCCTCATGACCATTAAAAATAATGAAATAGTAAATGCTCCAAATCTTCAAACCTGGAAGAAAACTTCGAGAAAATTATTGTATTGCATGTCACAAACGCATGTATGCCTGTGTTACGTTCTGTACATATATGTGTAAGTGCTGATCAACTATCCAGAGAAGGAAAATCTTTTTTTAATTTCAAAGGTTTTAGGAATGACAACTTATCATTTTGCTCTTCTTCACTCGGGCTATCATCTTCTGGTATTCGGATGACTGATGCATCCAGTATACAACCTGGGTGGAATATCTGCAAGAAACACAATGCGAATAACTGACTGCAATCCTTTTATTGACAAATGAAACTAAAAGAAAAAAAAATTAACTTCTACAAAATTCAAACATTAATTTTCAGTAATAACAGATGAGCCTTACTCTGCCATCCTGGCCAAGCATACAGTCCCGAAGTTTCCATATGTCATCATCTTCATCCCAATATTCTTCAAATTTTTCTTTACATACACCACATTCCTGAAAATTCCAATTCGACCAAAATTTATTGTAAACTGTCACAATTCTCTTCAAATCTGAATAAAAGAAAATTGGACAAATCTCAACCAAAATAACTACCTTAGATGGAACTGAGTCAGATGGTATGCTATATGTCCCTCTATTTGCATCTTTTGCTGCATCATTAGACCCAGCACCTGTAAAGAAAATTATTGAAAAGGTTTTGATTAAATTTTTTTGCTAATGGTGCAAAAAAAAAAAAGGACAGTTAATAATTACTAATAAAATATATTTCTCATCCTTAAAATTGTAATGGAAAAACTGTAAGAAATCCTATTGCAAGAAAAGCGGTTTGTTTACCAGCAAGACGAGTTGCTGATGTCGATGCTGATAATTCCTCTTGTTCGCTAAATTCATACCATTCCTAAAAAAGGACATAAAACCGGCATCACTTTCATTTCTCTGAATACCTATTTTTATCGGTCAAAAAAAAAAAACTCCAGAATCGCGTATGTCCCTATGTTAAATGATATCGCATAAAATCACTTATAAAATGAAAATGAACATAAGTACGATCGAAAAGTCATGGATTAGATGAAATCTACAAGCAATTGCAAAAAACCTACATCAACCGGCAAGTACCAATCACGGCAACGTGAACTTTCATTTGACTTTAGATTTTCACGAAAATGCCAGTCAAGATGCTGCTGGTACCTTTCACCCTTAAGCTCACTAAAGCGTAAACCGCAATTAGGACAAAGACGTCTTTTCTGATGAAGGCTTTCCACAACAGACGTATACCGTCTGAAACAAAGTGCTCAGACAATTCACAACAATTTATTTTCTAATTTTATTTAAAAAAAAAAAAAAAGATTCATAATCATTCAAACGCAACAAAAATTAACAGAGAATCAGCAAACCAACATTCTGAGAGCACGCATCGAGAAAGATTTAAGATCAGTTGGCGGTTTCGGCAGTCTTTCGGTTACCTCACCACGATGTTCAGAAGGAATAGGTGGTGTAACAGATCGATTAGGTGAATCTCCTCCTCCTGTTTCATCTCTTCTGCTATTCACATTCAAAGCAGAAAGTATTCCGGTACGCTGTAGTTTGGCAAGCAAACCTTTAACATCAACGGCTGCGTGAGGTTCGGTTCCACTTGAGGCTAAAAATCAAAGCTGAGAATTATCAAAGCAAGTGAAAGGGCTCTTATACTTGGTCCAAAAATTAGGGAACCAGAGCATGGAACAATTATGTCAATTTTTTCCTCCTCAAACCAAAAAGATGTAAAGAAAACAGGAAGCACTGAAAACCTGCAGTTTTGTTCGACGTTTCAGCTCCTATACGAGGCATATATCGTAGTAGTTCATAACATGGATCAGGTTCAATTTTAACTTCTGGTGGAGGTCCACCCAATCTGCAATAACATGCTATAAACAACACACAGAGAACTTTTATTTGAAAATCCAATTTTAAGGAATAACTACATTATATACCTTATTTCATGGCGTACTCCGTTAATCGTAGCAAAGATCGGTGGACCACCAAATGCACCCTTGAATGGATAAGTTCCCATATACAGTTCACGTGATGGAGCACCAAATCTATAGTATATATGAGAATCAGAAGGGCTTCTTGTTTAAAAACAATCCGCAATTTCAATTACTAAGTAAACTGCAGATAACAAAACGATATGCACGCGATTTTTTAGCGACAAATGGAAAGACAACATTCATTCAACTGCATATAGGATAATTTAACTCTGCTGGACAAAACGCAGTTTTAACCTATTATGGTAACAAAATTACCCGTACATTTACCTTAAAACGTGTTCTTCACCGTCAATTATTACTCTTTTCTCTTCACCAAATGCTAGTTGATAAGCGACACCATCAATGATAACATTTCGTGGCACACCCGTAAAATAGATCCTAAATTAAAAGCGTCAGACCACATCTCGAATCAAAATGTTCCAACTTAAATTTAATCTTAGAAAAATGCTGAAAACACAAACCTATGCGGCAAGCCATTCCTTTCAATAACTGGAACGTCATTAATATATGAAACTTCGTAGGCCCGACCATCCACAAATATTCTGTTATTTGCCGGAATACCTTCCAGCTTTGGAGTTTCGTTATTGATGATTGGTGGTACACGGTTTGAATCGGTTCGTGTTAAATCTTGGTGATTTGTGGAGGCAGAAATGACAGGAGAACCTGCTAGAATCGAAGCCATATTGGGAACTGGCATTGGTAAAGGTACCGCTGGCATTATAGGTGGTAGAAATGGTAGTGGGCCAGAGGTTGATGGAATTGCAGGCAAAATTACTGGTCCGGAGACTGGTACCATAACTTGAGTAGGCGGTGCTGTCAACATGTTTGTACTGGAGGGCACTTGTGCGCGTCGTGCCGTGGTAATGAAAGCATGAGAACCGAGATCATTTGTTGGGCGTATTATGGCGGAAGATGTTGAAGGCGAATTCGTACGACGATCTCTTTCTTGAGGTGGAGTACGTATTCGAGGTTTCTTCTCCACAGTTTCCACATCAGAGATACATGGTGGAGACTTACGTTTTATATCGTTTGGTGAACGTCTACCGAATTCATGTTCTTTTCTGAAAAATCACGAAAATACACTTATTTGGGAAAAATTGGATGGGCAAACCAAATTTTATAGGATTCAAAGCCAATCAAGAACGATGATAAAAATTCAATCAACTGACTTCATTCTTTTAAATTTATAACTATAAAAAAATAATGTTTTGTAAAGATAAGAGTGAAGATAACAAAGCGTAAAAACACAAAACTCCAAAAAATTTGGGTTTGAATATAAGTTACAGTATTTAAAGAAAGTTTCAGTTATTTTCTGAATAATACAAGATAGCCGCAAACAAGAGTTTTATATTAGAGAGTTCACCGTGCTATATCCGATAGCTTCCATTTCACTTTCTGAAAATCTGATTAATTCCATGCACATTAGGGGCAGAACTGACAACAAACAATCTGCTAACTAACAATTTCAACTTTTCAGGCCAACGTTATTTTCCGCCTTCATTTTTTTTCTTTTTTTGTCTTACTTCTTTTTATTTCACTCCTTTTCAGATTGTAAAGCGAGCAATAGTCATCAAACAGCTAAATGTATTATATTTGCAGATTGCCATAGCGACATACTTCCGTGTAGCTAGTCAGTTTTTTCATGTAATAAAGTGGAAATCACCTGTGTACAAAACTCCGAGCACTTGTACTATCCAAGAGGTTCCCAGTTTGTTGTGTATTTAATCTTTCATCAACATCACTGCTGTCGCTGCAATACACGAAAATACCACTATAATATCTTATTGTTGGAAACCTGATGAGCAGAAAAAAGTTGGAAAAATACGGAAATTTTGAAGAGATTAATAGATGATTAAATCAGTTATAGGAAAATTGTAACACTGATAATTCTATGCCTTCAAGAATAAAAACAGCTGTAAATTCCAAATAATCGTATTATATATTAATAGATGATTAAATCAGTTAAATGAAAATTGTAACACTGATAATTCTATGCCTTCAAGAATAAAAACAGTTGTAAATTCCAAATAATCGTATTATATATCTATTAAAATCCCAGTACATATAGAGCTTTCCTAATCTAGTCCTAAATATCCGATCGGAGCATTGGTGTATGATTCGAGATTATCATACGTTACTGCATGAACGAAGCACAACTGTAAACTAGTCTCATGGAAAAATGATTCTCCCGTGGTTACTTTTGAGGAAGAATCGCTGACAGATCTAATACGATCATGAAGAGGAAGATAAAAAATGATGCCTTCATCTCAAAAGCAAAAATGTCATTTTGAGTCATGCAATCTGGAACTGGTGAGACGATGTTAACATGGACTTTAAAACCACTAAAAAAAATTTACATAGGCTCCTGCTTGACGATGACATTTGCCGGATGAGATGCAACTAATGGCATTGGTCTGGTAGTTGTCGCTCCATCAGAATGTTTCATCAATCTCGGATCCAAACCTATCTTTTTCTTCTCACAGTTCATTTGCTGAAATAAAATCATTAGGAAGACAACAAAATAAAAAAAAAACTACCTTTCACTTGCTGCTGTTCTTCTCGATCTTCTTGCCACCGAACACTGATTGGATGTGTGCACTTATAACTCATTTCCATCGAAGACACACCTACTCATATTTTCTTAAAAATGCACTTTCGGAACAACTAACTTTTCTGGGGAGCTTCGCCTAGAAAAGACAGTTATCCAGAAAAGCTGGACGACATAAGTGCAGAGGTGAAGAACAAGCGCGACAAAACACCATCAAATCCACTATCAAATTAAATCAACGATTTTGCGCGATAAAACTAGTACCGTCAAACCAACGGCTAAAAGAAGATATGCCAATTTTTTTTTTCAAACCAGAAGAAACAACCTCTTCGCAAAAAGATGACGACTGATGCTAGTTGTAAATAACACACAGTAATTTCTCTTGGGGAGAATGGGAACAAGCATTAACTGAGATGTATGAGACACCCATTACAATATTTATTTTTAAGTAATGAAATTGATTTCCACAGAAGTTTGGAAATGATATAACTGTAATATGGACAACACACAAAATCATTTCGTTGCAATAATAAACAATGTATTATTATTAAATCATGTACCAATTTGTTGTCAACAGTAGCACTGGTAGTAGTAGTAGTAGTAATAATAGTAGTGGTAGTAGCAGTAGTAGTAGTAGTAGTAGTAGTAGTAGCAGACGTAGATGTAACAGAATTTTTCTGCAAAAAGTGTGGATTGACATGAACTTTTGCTGCTGCTCGAGGTTGGTGAGACGTCATTACAACAGGTTGTGGCCTAGATCCAGATACCGGAGTGTTAACTGGTTGAGGAGTAACGATCGGCCAAGCTGGATCAATTGCATTTACAGCCAAATCTATTTTATACAACGTTGAACGTTGAAATATTCCTGTCCAAGTTTGTCTGAGTTTATGTAGTGCCAAACGTGTCCTTTCATCACCCTAAAAACAAAGTATCACTTTGTACCTTTTTTTTTTTCATGCAGGAAGTGGTCTATTAAAACAAGCACACTTTAACACATGCTAATGAAGACAAGAAAAAGAACTAGCCGTTTCAAAAACATGCAGAAAGACTTTGTAAACAATTTTTTCAATATGTTCTTTGTAGTTACCAGCACCAGTTACATTTTTCAATATTGAATCCATAACATACATCACAGCCAATTTCTGAGGTGGTATAACCTAAAATTATATGTTTACTAATCATGTTAGAAATTGTCAATTTTCTATGATTTATTGCATCAGAGTGTTGTATACTACTTTATAGGTCAGAGTGAAATGCTTTACTCAAATGATACGCTTCTTATGAGTTTACGAGTTATTAACCTAATAATAAAGCACGTTTTGAAAACATGCAGAAAGACTTTGCAAACAATTTTTGTATTGTTGAACCAAACGAAACCACTTACTTTCATAATCTGTTGAGCAATAACAGCGACAATTTCCTTGGAAAATGAATTATAATCATCGGCAAGGATAGTCATCAAATTAATCTGCATTTTATTATTGTCTTTTAAATCATCCAATGCTTGTCTATAAAAAACGCTGGTGGAGAAGTGAAAACAAACAAATCTGATTTTTTTAATCTCGACAAGCAAAGATTTCTTTAATATATTCCATCTTCGGCAGTGATAAAAGACTCAAAATGTTTCTAAATAATTGCAGTAAAAAATGCAATGAAATATGAAAAGCTACATTTGTTGTATCAAACAACATTATCAAAATCTGTTAAAATACAGTTCCCTAAATGAATTTTGGTAAAGACAAACAACCTGTATTCAAGCGCAGCTTCTTCAGCATTTTTCGCCATAACTGTCAACAACAAATGCTATTCCTCGTGATTACAACCTAAAACACCTAGAAAAAAGGCTGTTTTTATTGACGGGGAAGTAGTTAGCAAGTCTTATTATTCATCGCGGAATAACGTGCCTTAAGATTATATATCATCAACATCAAGATTCAGACTTCATTTAATCACCTACTTGAAATTTAAGCATAACACAACCACTCCACCTTCACTCAGATTCCTTCATGGATCGGAATAACACATTGTCAGAAAAAATAGAACTAGAATAACTCATCCCAACACAAAGCAATTGCAATGAAAGAACCGAAGTACCCACAACCATCTGCTCAAATTTTAGTTCTCAGATCTTCAAAAATGCGCTTTTTTTAGAAATGATATTCGTTGAGTCTACTAGAGACCAAACGGTGTAATCTAATTTCCTGATGTGGCACAATTCTTTACATTTTCAATGCTACGAGTAACTGGTCCTCCTGGATCAGCTTATCAAGAACAGCCTGGACCTGCTTATCAGGACTATATATATATATATATATATATAGACTAATTACGTCAAAACACGTAACACATAACACGTCGTACATTCCCTTCACTTTACACAAAACATCGTTGCAACTGCCAAACTCCCGGTATCTGTTTAAGCAGTTTAGAAGATAGCAGCCAGCAATAAAGTATATCAATTTCCTTTCTTCAACATCCCGCACATTATCTCTCTTACATAGTTAGGATGCTTTGATGAAACCTGATTTCTGCAAACGGTTTTGGCGAGTGAAATCAGCTGAAGACTACATACTGAGCAATGGATCAGTCAATACATGATGCAGAGACAACATACTTTATCAGTTCATCGCTTCAAACAGGAACATAACAATTCATATACGCAGCGTTTACATTTTTGTAAAACTTGTTCCACTGCTCAGGGGAGAACAGAACTCACAAATTATTTCCCGAATGACACCTACCAGCCATTCATATAATACAAAGGATAAACTGAAGGTTATAAAACCTAACAATAACTATGCCATGAAAAGATATCCAGTCGCGGAAGACATCCAGAAGTTCAGCCTGACTAATCCGTTCTTTCGATGATGCTAATCTGTAGAAAAATGTGATTTTATGTCAGCAATATAAAACATAAAAAAGGAATCTAGCAGAATTACCACAATCATTCAACAACCTTTTTTTCTTATAACCATTGCAAGATGCAAGTCATTTCGGTAAAAACACTAAAACATGAAACATAATGTATGAAGGGGAAACACCCTTAAGTGACCCACAAGAGCTTCAAATTTCACTGAACGAATAGCTAGCGAATGCCCAAATGACATGGTTCGGGCACAAATCCAACATCTATATCGGCGTAAAAAGTCATAAGCCTCCTAGCCACATCTTCGGACACACTTGATAACAGATAAGTGATATTACCTTTGTGATGCGTTCTTGTATACAAAAAGTCACCATACTGTTGAAGCTATCAAATTTTTGGAATTAAAGAAATGGATCACTAACAAGCGAATGCAGTACTATTATTATAATGCAACGTAACAATTTTATCCCACCAAGTAACAATTTTGCTAAATGCAAACATACAGTATTCACTACTACCAATTCCATGTAACACTAACAAGATTGGCTTATGCGATTTAGTAGCAGTGGAAGAAACCGTCCTGCCACACAATTTAAGGGTTCTAAAAATTAAGAAAAAAAAAGTATTGCATTTTAAAATATGTTGTATACTTAGCAACATATTTTAATACCGAAATGGCCACTTCCACTAAACTATTTCAAAATCTTAACACTCAAGAATCATACGGCTACTAATATGGAAGCATAATTATCTGCACAAAGTTCATCGCAGTTCGTTTTCCAGTAGCCTGATCTCTTGATTACACTTCAAGTACCCCATTCAACATTGTCAACTTCTTATTTCTTCCAATAACCTATCGACTTTGTTGCACATAATCACGTCAGAGAATCATGCTAACAACCTTTTAACAATGGTACTTCACGTGTAATACTCAATCATAATTGATAAGCTCCATATTATGAAATCAATAATTTGTGAATTATACATCATATTATAATGATAAAAATGATAGTATTAATTGCAACCAACAAAACGAGTAATTCGAATGAAATATCGAGCATTCATCCACATTCGGTTTACTCCAATTTGTGTGCGTCTGTTTATCGTTCCACGTAAGTCCAGTAATTGTCTCGCGTCACACACGTGAAATAACGTCCACCTCAAACAACCTCCACTACCGCCCCGCGCTCACCGACTACCAGCACTGCCAACCAACTCACCGGAAACCGTTCCAATGGAGAGCACGCACGATCCGCTGTCCCAACGAATCGATGGCTTTATTCTATAAGCTGTGCATGGTATGGGACGATGCTAAGGGATCGTTGTGCAACTCCAACGCCTCATCCCTATTGAAATAAATACAAGGATATCAAGGGTGGATGTATAGGTGTGCGGACTAGGTAAGGTATTATGTCTGCGAGAAAATGAGCATGTTGGGATATAAATTAATCAATACGTCATGTCAGTGATTTTATAAAGCTTAGCTTTGAGTCATTATACCTTCTTCACAAATAGTTCTCTTAGAAATGAAAAATAGCCGTCTGTGACAAAGTCATGCACGAATGGTCTTCCGAGCGTACTCTGTTGTCGGAAACATTTACTGAAAGTTTCAAATAAGATGCAGCTGAATGACATCGCACGAGCTTTACAATTAAGTAGAACAAGACCACTTGACGAATTCTTGTTGATTCAGAAATAATCTTGTGGAGAATAGAAAAAATTATTCAGAACAGAGTGGATTGGGTGTTAAAATGAAGCATGATCTCAGACAAACAAAACAAAAGGATAAATCGTTTTAAATAATTGTAAATAAGATGCCAAGAGGAATTGCCCGTCAACCTATAAATTATCAATATGTTAGTTGAGGTAGCATGTACTGCTGGATAAGTCAAGCAAAGGTATTTTTGTATCCAGTTATTTTTGGCTTCATGCTGATAGGCATTCTGCATCCATCGAAATAGCCGTGCTGCAGGGAAAGCAGACATGACATACGGAAATGAGTAAGATTTCGTGATATATGAAAGTAAGAAATGAATTGACGTGGAATTGTATTATTAGTGAGCCTCGTCAGTCGGCGAGAAAACTCATACACGTGACAAATAGAAGTTCAAATTGCTAAAGATGGATGAGCTGATGTTTGAAAAGGAAAATAATTGAGGCGTATTTAGATGGACGACTGGAGCATCGATGGTCAAAAGGATGTACTTGGAGGAAAGTCGACCTTGGATGAGATGATGGATTCGCTGCCAAGTGGATCAGCTGCATTCTGTGCAACTAAATTTCTGGAAAAAGATATAGATCAAGGGATGCAGGTATTTATTCGTGATCATATTTATCTAAAAGTTCATTTTCCAAAAATTGAGTTTTTGAGAAATGTAATGAGGAGATGATCTTGGATGCGTACTATGAAGTTTTTTGAATTTTTCGTAGAACTTCTAGGAGATTTCTTCCCATACGGAACTTTCGAGTCAGTAACATTTAAATGTTACCTCATTTTACACGGTTGCGATGTAGTGTAATAGCAGTTGGGTAGCTAACATAGTAAAGAGCAGATTACGATTAAATTTTCAAGAAATTAAAAATTGCAAATTGTTCAGATAGTACCATGCACGTTATCGGGACAACGTAAGAAAGAACAGAAGTCGATCCGGAAAACAATGCTGAAAACAAAGTTGAGGAATGGAAAGGAGTTGTCAAATGCTGTGTTCCTGAAGAAAGTAACCTTCGATGTAAGTTCAAATATCGGATAATATTTGCATAAAGAATAGTTCCAGCCCTTTGAGTACAACTCATCGTTTTTACTGGAAGAGCTTCTTGGTGCTTACGGTTAGATCATCCAATAATTTTAGTAATTTCACTCAAGTCAATATAGTCCATCAGCTAATTAGGTTCTCGGTGGTTCTTACACGTATTTTACTATGTTGTAGTTGGCAATAATATTTTCTCGGACTTTTAAATTTTTAAGAAGACATCGTGGTTTGCTTTATTGAAGTTTTGGTATTTCTGTACTTTAATAAGTTTTTTGAGTCAAAATTGATACGTTTCGACTTCTAGTCGTGATGATTTCCAGGTAGAGAGATTTGCCGCTGACGAATGTGATGATGCAAAGGAACGCGGTGAGGCTAGAGCTCGATTAGCCATGAAACTAGGGGCGCGGCCACCAAAAAATAATTATTTCAATTACAAGCAACTCAAAGAAGAATTAAATGTGAAAAAGAATTTAGAAGTCGGACTTGATAAGCTTTCAGCTTTGAAAGCTTTAAAGAAATTGGCAGTGAAAAAGAAAATGAAAAAGTAGTCCCGAAAATAACATAGCTTTTTTACATTTTCTCTTTCATTTATTTTCGGAACACACTGAGATGAAAGACACTTTGTCTAGTGATCACCGTATGATATTTCTACTCAGTATAAGAAGCAACATGGTGTTCACCAATCATTTTTGATTAATTGCGCTTTTCTTGGAAAAATAAATTTTAAGCAATGTAAATGTATCGAACAGATATATCGGTTAAATTTGTTATAAATGGAATTTTCACTGATGAATCTTAATTGTTTCACTTTTTTCCTTTTTTTTTCGTTGAATTCAATAAAAATTTTTGTAAATTATTAGTTTTGACAGCAGATAGTTTTATCGCAGAAGAGTACTTATTCGTAGGCAGTTGATGCCGCATTTCCGATTCTTTTGTTTGCTTGTGTTACTTTGACCTAACATTTTTTAGGAAATGTACTCTTTTTTAGGAGAAATAACATGTGGAAGGAAAGTAGTAAATCTTCGGAAAGCAAAAGTAATGGTGACAAAGCAAGTGATGTAAGTTATATTTTAGTGTAAAATTCATTCTTCTATGGATCTTTCTTGTAGCTTTTACTTTATACATTGTTGAGATTCTGGTAGTATGCAACTTAATCTGTAAGAATTAAC